TGAAGATCCCTACATAGTAACAGAGAAGCTTCTAAATGACACATATCTTATAGAAGATATTCCGGGCCGATCAGTTACTCAGCGTTTCTACACGTCTACGGCCCCGATTGATAAGATGAAGCGTTACTATGCCTTCGACTTAGACAACGAACCCGATCATGACGACTGCAAAGACGAAGAAGACAATTGAGTAAATTTTTCACAGGATGGCCGAGTGTTAGCATCCTGCTGAGCACGAGAGATCAAAGAGAGACGAGGACGACGAAGAGCACCCGCGAAACGCGCAACGATACGAATGCTGAAAGCTCTGTACATATAAAATACTTTCTACCTTTTGGCAACCGAGTATTTGACGACTAACACACGAATGTAAAAAGAATTGATGTCTTCAATAAATGATCTTGAAAAGTTGCAGCATAGATTTAAAATCCATGTTAAATGCTAAACTAGAAGAATTATCATGTGAAGAACACTCATCTACAGGAATATTCCAGGAGAGGTTATTAGCTCGATGAACACCGCAATATTAATAGAAGGGAAGAGAAGAAATAATAGAAATATTGATGTTGTAGGAACGACAGTTGTTATCGTGACGGGGGACTCTCATAGGTCTGCATTTAGAAATGTTTAGTTCCGTGATCTAGTTAGTCTGCACACCAATGAGTAACATTATTAATATCCGTTTGAAGGACAAAGATATCAAAATTGTTAACAATTGTTTTCTAAATAACACAATCGTCAGCATACGAACTTGTGAAAGAGGAGGCACATGCATTAAAGTCGTTAATATAAATAAGACGTAATAGCGGGCCAAGAACGGAGGTAACGTGCGGGGCTGATGAACCGGCTCCGGTAGCCTGAACAACTTGAGTACGGTTTGTTAGAAAATATTGTAACAAGCGAGTCCATTATAATGTATGTTTAATTTACGAAGTTTATAAAACAGAAGCACTCGAGGAACGTTGTCGAAAGCTTTAGAAAATATAGAAATATGCAGTCCGTCCTTGAGCACCCGACAAGAGTGGCGTTAGGGTAATGAGTGAGAGTTAGAAGTTCGGTTCCACCAGGATAAAACTTACGATGCCGTGCTGTGCAGAGGTGAAAAAATAAGTTTTAATAAAAAAAGTTAATAAAACTGAAATGCATTACATGCTCAAGAATTGTGCACATAATGCTACTTAAGTAGGTATGACGACCATTTAAAGAATTATGTTTACCATCTTCTTTGTGCAGAGGAATCACCTTCCACTCTTTTCTTAGTATATGCATTCGAAGAGACTGGGTAAATAGCTTGGATAGCTTGGATACTGTGGTATAATTTAGTATTCTTCCAAAACTTCGCGTCATTTTTATCGACTCCTGGGGTAGTTGATGCTTTAAGGTTTCCAATAATTTTCCTAACACCTTCACCGTCCACAATAACTGGAAATATTTGCATAAAATCACAAACTTTAGGAAGTTAATAGCTCAAGCAAGCGGGCATTAAAAAGAACTAGAACAAAATTATTTCAATATATAAGGGAACAAATCATCCGGTACATCCAATCCGTCACTATTATTGGTCGTTACATCGGCACTGGCAGTGGGATTAATAACATCACAAAACTGATGGGAATTATTTACTACCATGAATGGTAATGCACCAATAAAAAAATTAAAGACGTTTACAACACCCTGTAACGCCGAATTAGAGCACAGCTCTTGAAGAGGAGGGAAGGGTACTGAGGGGAGAGTATACCCCTCCTGCCTTCTCCTCATCCTCCTCCGCTTCATCCTCCTCCTCGTCCTCCACGTCCCCTGTTCCTCTTCCTCCTTTACCTCCTCCTCCGCCCCTCATCATTCAAGCTCCTCCCCTCCTCCTCCTCCCTCTCCCTCCTCTCCTCCTCCTCATCTCTCTGCCTCCCCTCTTCCCTCTCCTCCTCCCTCCTGCCCCTCCTGCTCCTTGCTCCTCCCTCCTCCCCTCCCCCTCCTTCCCCTGCGGTACATTATGGAAAATGTGGCGTCACTCGTGACGCCACGGGGGTCCCGCGCGGTGCATTATGGGACATTTCCCATAATACACCGCGTGGTTACGCCGACACCGACGGCGACGGCGATGCCGACAGCGACAGCGACGGCGCCACCGCTCAAGCCGGAAACCGGCGCCTAAGAACTGCGCTCTAAAAAAGTAGCTTTCGCTTCCTCGACTGCTTTTTCTATTAATCGGCAGTAAGATGATATGCTGCCCAGCGTTGATCGCATTGCGACCGCAAATCAGAACGAAATATTCATTTTTACATTATTTTCAAAGTAACTATCTATCAAGGAGATTGATGTGAGGATTATAATCGTATGAAGGGGCACATCAGCAGTCATAAGTGACGCAACTTTTTTTTATATATAGGCACCGGTTATTAGGGAGTTTTAGAATAGCACACGCTAAAGCTTTGCGTGCGCAAAGAATAGCGTCGTCGCCACTGCGCATGCTCCGAACGCAAACCAGCTAGTTTTGCGCTTTGCGTGCGCAATTTTAGCGTGCGCTATTTCTCGGAAATAGCGTGCGTACGCAAAGGGCCTTTGCGCTCCTCTAAGGAGGATTCGTGATGAGAAGTTGGCTAAAGCCAAGACGAGCACAGTTTAAAAAAAAATGGCGGCCCCCGGGACCACGGCTGCGGTCGCTTTGGCGGCGTCGTGAGCGCGACGTCGGCGGCATCCTCGCGACTGCGATTTTCAATACGGGACCACGGAACGACATTGCACTCTGTTTGGAAAACCCAGTAGGGTGGGCAACGATCACCGGAAACTTGATGCTTGCGACAAGCGAACATTTATCGGCGAAGGTCAGTACACTCTTGCCGAGGCGACGCATGCGGCGGACATGACCGGTCGACCGCTCGCGTCGCACTCTCACGTTTACACAAATGTAAAATTGCTACTCCAGACCAAAAATCTTGTTTTTTTCTCAAGTTGCAGCATTTCCTGTGTGAAATAAAAATCGTGACTGTATCTTGGTGGCGTTTCAAGAGCGAGATGCTTGGGCTTTTGCGTCGCGGCGGAGAGACGCTATTCTAAAACTCTCTTGCGTCGCGTGCGCTAAAGCAAGCGCTAAATTTAGCGCTAGCGTGCGCTAAAATTGCGTACATTATTCTAAAACTCCCTAATTACTGTCTTTACAGAGGCGGTGCACTTTTTCGATTGAAGAAAGATCAATCTCTAACCTACCGAAGCACACATATATTGCAGCTTTCATATTCGCAATCGAGTTTTTTTTATCCGCATCAGAAAAAAAGAAAAAAACGATTTCACCGGCGCGCTCTGCTTCCTGGGTTATCACAACGTGCCCTCAGCTCCGCTACCGTAAACAGCTGACGCTATTTTTGGCACAGACAGAGTGTTTTTCGTAACGCCGACCGAGTTCATCCTTGAAAGCACTTTTTCCATAAGAGTAGCACGTGTAGTGAAAGCAGTTACCGATTCGTCGGTGACACACTGTTTTATTGTTAACTCTCGAACTTCTAGAGGAATATTGTCATCGCCTGTTTTGTAGTGTCTGAAGGACATCAAAGACATTACTAAGTATCTCTTTTTTGGCTTTGTACATGGTTTTGTTTCCCTTTTTGCCTGCGTTTTGTTTCTATATTCCCACCGAGGAGCAAAAGTAGATATTCAAGGTGGAACGCCTAAGCACACAGGTTTCTGGGAGAAACCTGTGTGCTTAGGCGTATGTATATATATATACATATTTTTTTTTTGCTGTCCTCGGACGGCTTTTTTTCTTAGTGTCTTAGTGTCGTGGTTAAAGCTGCTCAACCTTTCAACCTTTTCCCTTCTTTCTGTGCTTACTTCTCTGGTTGTGGGCCTACTTAAGGATGATTCAGTCTAATAAAAATTTCAGCGATGTTTGAAGATTTGTGTTTGTGCCTCCTGATTTTCGCCCGCTCCCGGGTTACCCTGTTAATTTTAATATGTTATAGTAATAAAAATTGTTAGGCCTGGATGGCACACAAACAATGTAAAATACCTTGATTGACGAGCAAGCTTTCTTGAGAATGGTGCTTGCTTGCAGTCGTGCAGTCTAGGTTAAGGAAAAACTAAAGAAGTATCGCATAATTCTCGCGATTCACATAAAGCTACAGCAAATTATTCCTGATTAGCAGCTAGATGAGTTAATGGTTCGAAAGAACTGCTCGGTTGCTTCAACCCTCACCTTTAGCATTCTAATTAATATTTCTTTGATACGGTTGGATTGATAAAGAAAAAGGAAATTCATTTTGCTGTTGGGCAGAGAAGGTTTCAGTTCAGCGGATATGTGGAAGTAGTTTTCCGCCGTGGCAGGTAACCCGACAGTTTGTGGCAGCTCTCTCGGTGCGGAAAGTAACATTGCAAGGTGTTTTCTTTTTTATATTACGTGAGTCAGCAGTCAAACCAGTGACTCCTGCTAAATATTGTTCTTTTGATTGTAGCAGAATAACTGAAATTGATTTAATTTAAAACGCACGTCCATCGGTGTCAGAAGAGGCACTTTATTAGTTAACTTGGCTTTTAGCCTCTCGAGGCGTTGTAAATACTATTGAAATCAAAGGTACGCAAAATATTTAGGTGCGTTCAGGTAAAGCGGCAGTTGTTGTTTTCCTTTAACACAAAACTTAAAATAAAATCGGTTTATATATAACACGCTCTTTTTTAACTTAGTAACCTTGGAACAAGGCGAAGAAGAGGTGCGGACCAACACGAAACTCTGAAGTTTAGAACTTTAACGGTAGAGCGAGGGGGTATGTTTTTTTTATTATACAAACACAGCTGATGTGCCGGTTTAGGAGTCATTTTTAATACACTGCTTCATTCATAAATCTCCCACAAGACACGCAGTGTCCCCGTTATGTCGGGTTGCGTGAGCTACGCCCAACTCTCCGAAACTTTGTTAAGCAACGAAACAACCATACAACAATCACTGTTTTCACGTTTATATCAAGATCTCGTTGGGAAATAATTTGAGCTTTGATATTTTGTCACAGATTTATTCAGATTGTGTCGCTTAGCGTCCATACTTTTGTGTTCCTTTTTTCAACACAGACAACAGCGAGGAAGAGTGCCGAAGCTGCCAGCTGTATTCCGCCGTGAAGCATGTACAGGCCGTCGTAACTTCCATAAAGGTCTCTAAAATAACCTTGAAAAGAAATAAAAACCAATATAATTATAGCAGTCTCGTGATCGAGTGTTCCGAGTGTTCTTACACTAGTTTTGCCGCGTAACACGGTATATAATAAAAAACCTAACTATTTTTCTTTTATACTAAGTTTTACATGACACGTCAGGGAGGGCCAGAAATTGTCCAGTTGCAGAAGGCTTCTCTTGTTTCGTCTTTACGTTCTACAGCCCTCAGCAAAAACCGCAGCTCGCGGCTGCGGCAGATGCGGGGGAAGTGTGCGTTCATATCACAATATAGAATTGAAGCATGCAAATATCTATACACAGTGTTGATCTAAGAAACTGCAGCTACAACAATGAATTAGCAAAAGTCAAATATACGTGAAAGAACGAAGCATTTTATTTTGTCAAACTGACGAAAACCGTTCGGAACTCTCTACAAACACTCCCGACTGTAGATGTACCCGAGATCTGACCAGCAATCAACTGTAATAAGAAGCTTTGCGAGCATCAACAACTACATAATTGGTATAGGCAGTAAAATTTACCATAACAAAACATGAACGAATATGCCAAGTTGTAAGATAGTCTCACAATAAAGAAAGGTTAAGTTTGTTTTAATTCAATATTTTTTTTTCTTCTCAGCCTTTTACGTAATCTTTTTTGAAAGAGGACCCTAGTGATCAATAATGAATATCAAAGTAAGTCGCATTGTTAAACTTCAAACCACCTCTCAAGCCATCAAAACACTGTAGGGATTATGCATTCAAAAAGCTATAATCGTAAAACAGGTTTGGATTCATCCCAGATTGTCGTGGCGGTGGATTTTATACTGAATCAAAAACACAGTGAAAATGGTATGGCATTATTCGCAATAAATCGTAACGAAAGTAAACAACGAACTCGTCAGTCGATACAAGTCTACCTCTAGTCCTAAGTAAACACAGATCTACTTACCTGTAATTGATGGACTGCAGAAAGTGAGAGGCAGTAAGACCAACCCTGAGAGCCCATAGCATGTTGAGATCCATTGGACACCGATGTAGTCCGCCATAAGGACGCTTTTCATAGATTGCAGACATCCGTAAAAGAGGTACACGCTCAAGCCCAGAATAATTATGTGCACACGAAGCGTTGCATACGGCATAGCAATCACTGAACATCCCCATATAAAAAAGCTCGCCATAACTAAGGTACTGCGTCTAAAGCATCCCTTGTCCGCCATAAGTGGAAGGAACAACCGTCCAACGAGTTGGCTGCAAGATCCGTACATGATGAGGGATTCGGCATCTTCAATTGACAGACTTTTATCTAGTGCGTAGTCGACCAGAGTAGTGACAAACGCAGCTCCTATAAAGTCTGTCACTACTGCCAGTGTAACAACAACGTAAAGCATAGGATTGATTAACAGCCTCAGTGCCGGACGATGTTTCTTGATTTGCTTTCCGGCAGGGATCGTTGAAGCTTGTTGGAGTTGTTTGGAATCAGCCGAGATTATCTCTAGTTTCGACGAACATTCGTCAGCTGGATTCCGCGCACCCTCACCGTTTTTCTTCAAGGACGTCCACGGTGGTTCCTTGACGAAAACACCGATGGCCGAAAGATGCATACTAATGCCTCCGTAGATAAGAAGCGTACCACAGAAGGAGTATTCCTGTTGTAAGTAGGGTAGAAGCTTGGGAAAAACCAGACCGCCCAATGATCCTCCAGAATACTTCATTCCCGAAGTTAAGCCTCTGTACTTGTCAAAATACATTGTAAGGAGTATACCATATGTCAATATAGTTAGCCCAACTCCAAGACCTGGAATAGAGCAGAAAGCAAAACGTAAAAGAATTGCATATGTTACAGTTTCACAAGTGTGTTTCAGAAGTTGTGCGCTCAGTGTGTGCTTTCCTTAGCTGCATAATTAATCAGAAGTGTGCTGGGCAGTGCTAAACAGATGAAAGGCACGAGAGCATAGTTTTTACAAAGCTACTTTTACGCGAGGCAAAAATATGCGACCGTCGGGGAGGCAGGCTAGGTTCGTAGGAAGAAGCAAAGTAATAGAATGCCTCTTTTAAGACACGAATTAACCTCCAAACTTGCTGCTGTGTTCTTAAATGTTCGCTTCCTAAGTGTGTAGTCAGTATAGAGGTAGGAATTGTTCCCCTGAAGTTAACTGATGTTATAAATCGCGAGAATCTTGCCCAGACTCGCTGTAGTTCCTTAATATGACTTCGTTTCAACCGAATATCCTTTCGCCAACCCGACAACTACACCTTGAAACAAAATGACTTGTGACTGAGCGACATTGAAAGCCGTTTTTATTATGTACTTGACTATAGTTTTTTCCCCATGAACTAAACAACTTTTTGGGTTTATAATTTTCGCAAGTTACTGTAACGTCTCGTAGCAAACACATAATAAACTCTTTTTAAACACTTTTACATAACCACCTTTAGGTCAGCGTACGTAGTCTTCTTTTGTTGTGCTTGTACATAAAACATTTCAATGGTAATAAAAAACACCAATTAAATTACGGAGAATATAGATATTACAATGATTCGCAAACACATTTTACTGAAATCTACCAAATCAGAGCATAGGTTCAATTGGACACGTAACCAAACATTCACAGTGGTCGGTTGGCCCACCACATGCAGTCACCTTTTATCAAGACACCGAGTTAGTTTTTAAACGACGAGAGAATAATTTATTGCATTCTCGGTTATAGTTGTTAATTAATGTAAATAAGTTAGGGAACGAGCAAACTATTGCGCAATCTCGATCACATCAGGCGTTTGCATGATTTACAATCCGAAAGGCAAAATGAATTCGTTCACATGATTTACAATCCGAAAGTGCCCTTGAATTTGTAGTATCATTGCACGAAGCCCCTCAGTTATAAAACAAAAACATTTTTGGAGGAGCAAGATTATAAAAAGAAGAGTCCTTTCAGGAGTTATAAATGAAGGTACGGGTTTAAAATGCTTGTCATAGTATAGAACCCTAGCATCATCTAGCCTAGTTTTCTAATTTTTGAGAGTTAGATACAGTTCTTAGACGAGAAAAAATGTCGCAAGAATTATATCATGAAGATGTTCGTATCTTCACCTTGAATGGCGCCGAAAGTCACCGTCATCCATGCCATGGTGGGAACAAATGCAGATGCCACCAATCCTGACCAGGTCAACAGCGCTCCCAGTAGAAATATCTTGAATAGTGATACTCTCCGTTGAAAGAGTGCCACAAAAATAGCTACAAAACAAAATGCTGATCACATTATCTGCTTCTGTACAAGTGTGCTTCCCATTTATACCAGGATTTCCAGTTAGTCTCGTAGAGGGGAGGTGCGCGAGTTTGGAACAGAGATAAAAGCAAAATGTTTGAAAATGCACCAATAACAAGGGTTGGGCAACTGATCTTTTTAATTGACTCCCTACCCTACTAAATTTGCAGATAATTAAGTAATAGTGACATACATTTCACCCTTGCTAAAGGTTAAGGCGCGTATGTCCTGCTCAGATGTAATGGGGAATCTCATACTTCCTGATATAGCAGATTCGATTTAAAATGTGTTTAAGACTAAAATAATTAGTTTAAAATATGAAGATCCTACTGAAAAATATTATATTAATTTATTTTTGACATGTTTATTCAACAAATTTTCTTATCAGAACATTAGGGTATTTCATTTCAGTTTAATTGGTTCCCTATAAGTTTCAGCTAGGTTGAGTGGCGCTAGGTACCTCCCGATTCGTGTGCTATTAAAATATTTTTATTTGCTCACGGCACCATTACACTTCAGGCCCTTCAGGCACCTGTATTATACACACATGTAGATACCTTACGCATAACACCACCATCAGCTGAACCTATACATTGAACGAATACACATGCACAGCACAAGAAACGTTAATACAATATTTTCGCCTTTTATACGGGTCGTCTTGAAGGTACGTATTTTAATGGTGACCATCTAGGCAGTCAGTAATGTTCCCAGCATGATGAGTTTTTTGCAGTAATGTCATACCTCTGAGATTATTATCTTGGACGGCTCAGGGGATGAATCTCTTAATAAAAAGTAAACGCCCATACTGTAATTATTTAAAAGCCAATAAATCAAGCCGCTAAACTGCGGTTCCAAGCCACGTGTTTGACTTCCCGCGCGGCACCGTCGTATTCTGAAAAAAAATTATATGAATTTATTTCTGATTTGTTTATTGGACCCATTTTCGTATCAATTGGCATATATTGCATATCAGCTCTTGTATCTCGCATATCAGTTGTTGGATATTGCATATCACTTTCATATATCGCATATCAGTTTTTTTAAACTTCATATCAGTTTCACATGTCGCATAGCAGTTTTTGAATCTTTCACATCAGTTCTTATCTAGATTCATTTTTTTTCAGTAGGGGAATTACTAACCTCTAATTCACATTAAAAATTAGAAGTTATCACATCACCAACTTAAAACCTAAACGACAAACATAGGAAAGTACCGAACGTGTTGGTAAGGTTCATAGAGACACAAAAGAATAAACACATAGGGCGGACGACAGAGCACACTATAATTTAGCAAGCAACAAACAATAATGCAAACGAACCGCGTTCCAAAAGACGTAAGCAAACCTTGGGAGAAAGTGATAAACGTTTGCGAAGGAAATGGAAATTCCAGAAGGAAAACGAGAATAAAATACAGGAATTGTGTGTTTGTAAATCCAGATTACAAGCTCATAACCTATCACAATGTCAGTGTGTGACGCAGACTCATATACTCATGATGAATAAATTCAGCTATTGTCTTCGTCAGTGAAAGTGATAGAGTAGATGAACTGTTGCATAACCTAGACGCTTCAAAAATCTTCGATTATTTTTTTTGCCTATTGTTGTTTATGGCCGAACATGTGATGACTGCACACTTTGTTTTCGCGATACCATAGTTCTAAGGGTTACATGAACAAATTTTGGTAGGAAAGTCATTGGGTCACTTGTGGGTGCGGTGTGCAACAATATTTCTGTTCCATCACTCTCATTAAAGGAGACATCAGTCGAATTTTTAAGCTTGAGTTTTCCAAACTGCTTTACACATCGACGTGTTGCTAGGGGTCTTAAACGTGTAATCTTTCTTTGCAAACATATAATTCTACAATTTTTTACCGTTGTCCTGTTTGCATTTTTTTCCTTCATCAGTTTTTATATATTCTTTTTCCATGATTTGTTAACGCCTCTTGGGACCTGTTATTTTTCACACGTGTTCGTTTCTAGCTCAAATATATTATGCTATGTACACCGTCCTGTGTTTATATTCTTTTGCGTGCATATGAACAAAATATTCTATGTGTAGCGACATGCTACAGCGAGCAAAGAAGACGAAGTTCACCAGCACGAAAAAATACCACCACTTGCACGCAGGAACTCGCTTTTGCGTGCAGTGGGTGATATTCGTGTCGATGGACAAGAAAACACCCGACCAACCAGTCATATACAGCTTCATTATAATATATGCTTGTTATAGATAATCAAACAGCATGGGTGTACCAACTGGGGGGGGGGGGCGGCAAGGGGGGCAAACAGTGGCCGGCGGCGCCCACAGAATACCAAGGGCACCGCCCCCCGACCCGCGGGGGCGTACTTTAACCCGCAGGCGATACAAACCCTAGCAACGGCCTTCACGCCGGATTGGCTCCCGATCGAAATGACCATCAAGAAAATCTGATGGTTCATCAAACTTTCTTGATGGTCCATCAAACTTCTCTGATGGCCCATCAAACTCCCCTGATGGCCCATCAGGCCCCCTTGATGGCCCATCAGACCTCCTTGATGGCGCTTGATGGTCCATCAAAGCCTCCAAATAGACCATCAAAGAGATTTTGATGGTCCATCATACTTCCTTGATGGCGTCTGATGGACCATCAAAAGTGTTTTGATGGTCCGTTAGGGACTCCAAAGGCAGCTAATAGTCCATCAAACTTCCCTGGTGGACCATCAAAAGCGTTTGACGGTCCGTCTGAAGTTCATAACGGCACTTGATGGACCATCAGAAGTGCTTTGTATCATCAAAGCACGTTGACAGGGTATACTCTGGTACCTACACGAATTATATTATGCAGCAGCTCTTATATGTGACGACAATATCCGATCAGTCATGGGCGTCCTTGGCTGCAGTGACTCGGTCGTGTGCAGGCTTAAATCGATCGCATGTATATGTGGTTCGTGGAGATAGGCGCTGCCGCCGTCAACATAGGCAGCGGTTGCAAGGCGAGTTTCCGAAGCGGTATCATAATTTAGTGGTAAGATGTCTGCCTCATACGTAGCAGACTAGGGCTCTATCCAGGGTGTGGGATAACAGCTATTTTTTTCCCTCGAAAATTTTGTTTTGTCGAGGCAGTTGGCGATATTTACGACATTTATTTTATACGATTATCAATGAAAAAAAAAAAAAAAACGAATGTTCCGACGAAACGTTGCTGAACTAAATCGTACGGGACTCTATTTACGGAGGTGCATGGGGGACAGCGGGGCTTGGGTCGCCGGCTGGACGCCGGAAAGCGGCGTGTACGGGAAGGGGAGGGTGCTAATTGGTTTAATATTTTTTTTTGTAATTAGCAGCCGCACACTGTCGCCCCGAAGCGGCGTGAACGCAGGCGGGAAGAGGGGGGGGGGGGGGGGGTTAACGCGCTTCGAGTGATACACGCGCCGTCCGAATCCGGAATTTAGATTCTCTCGAGTTGCCGAGCAGCCAATCCGGCCTGAGCGTCATTGCTAGGGTGTCTTTCGCCTTCGCCGTAAAAATTAGTGATGGGCCGAATCTGCCGAACTTCAGATTTGGCAAAGTTCCGCACATGCCGAAATTTAGAAGGAAAGTTTGGCAAAGGTTCGGCGAAAATTCGGCAAATGTCTGTGCACGCGGACGAACGTAACGGGGTCATGGATCGCAAATAGACGCCGCGCGGTCGTGCGGTTACCATCGTACAGTTTAGTGCAACCGGCGGTTACGCCGAGGTGAGTAGGCGACACGATAACTGTGCGGTTGTGAGCTTGCGCGAGTGTGGTTCTCTTCAATATTTTCTGCCTCAAGAACAGAAGATCGACCAGTAATTTACGCAGTCCACTGTGCAAGTGACAAATGGTGCGGTACATTCTGGATAACGAGATTTTCATTTGACCTTTCCATTTATAAAACGAGGTAGTTGAAACATTGACTCACAACTGAAAATTACGCTCAGCGTGCGCAGCCCAGTGCTGCCAAACGGGGCAGAGCCATGAGGGCTGGCCAGGATGGGATGCAGTTGGCGTCCTCGTCATAATGAGATACATGTTTTCCCTCTTCTTTTCTTTCATTTTTACGTACTTTCTGTAGTGTGTATTTGTACATTTATGTCTGTTTTGTTTTTTTCACTTGTGGTGGCGGGCTGGCAGGCGCTCTGCATACGTGTTTTCACCTACCTGCCTAGCCCCGCACACCACCACATGGGCCGCCTCCAGTATGTGCAAATAAAATTAATCTTCTTCTTCTTCTTCTTCTTCTTCTTCTTCTTATTATTATTATTATTATTATTATTATAGTTCCACAAGGTTCAGTTCTTTCACCATTGCTTTTCAATATTTATGTTAATGACATGAGTTTATCTGTTTCAAACTGTACCATTCATCAATACGCAGACGATACTCTTTTGCTGACGAGCCATATCTCATATGCCAGAGCAATGGGTTTGCTCCAAGACTGTACCTCACAGCTAATGATCTGCTTTGCGAATAATCTAATTAATATAAATATTTCGAAAACTAAGCTCGTTTGTTTTCACAATCCCCTTAAAGTTGTTGACCTTAATATTCCTCTCTTGCTGCACACGTCTCACTGTGTCCCATGCCAATGTGTTCCAATTTTTTGTTCATACACTGTGAAGTACCTAGGAATCACATTCGATTCAGATCTCTCCTGGAACTCACACCTATCAAAACTCTGTTCCAAATTAAGAAGCGTTTCCTGCCTATTATACCATATCAAGACATTCCTACCTTTTAATCTCAGGAAGCTGATAGCCCACTCGTTTGCTTATGGTACACTCCGATACGGCGTAACAGTCTTTGGCAAATGTTCTGGATTGTGGCAGGCCAAGATAAATTCAATTCTAAAAGGAATCTTACGGAATGTTCAGTATAAACCGGCATCCTCAGGTCACAATCTCTTTAAGGCTTTGTCCATGCCAAATCTGCAATCTTTGTTTTTTGAATCAGTCGTGCTTGAACACTACTGGAAGGATGATTTTAAAGCTCTTCATCCGAATGTGAGACAATTACGAAAAATATCAAAGTCTCTTGTTCCCGCTTACTATACACGTTATGGTAAGAACATGCGGTCGGTCTATGTGCCTCAAATTTTTAATTCCCTACCTCCCAGCATATGTGACTTTACCTCAAGAAAAAAGCTCAGAAGAGCGCTTTGACATATTGATATGACCGACGAACCTTTGTGAATATTTCATAATTAGTTCTTACGACATTTTCTTTACCAAGTGCGTTTTTTTTATTGTTTTATGAGTTTTATTTTATTACTATCATTGTATGACAACAAAGAAAGTCATCCAGATCTTCAGTGTCACAAAAACTGGACACCAATTTCTACTACTTACAATGGCGAACAATGGCGAAAAGTGGCGCCAGTGCATTGTGTGTGTGTGTTTTTAATACTTTTCTGACTTAAATTTTTTCTTTAGAAAGGGAAGGGGGGAGGGGGAGCTTTAGTATGCAGTTGGAACTGCTGTAAAAACTTAGTGATAATTCTGCTTTTTCTTTTTTTATCTAGAACTGATTTTTTATTTTTATTCAATTTACATAGCTGGTTTTGCCGCACAAGCCCATGATGGCTTTGGCGAACTTGCAGTTTGCCTCGATTATGTTCTTCCGTCACAAATAAATTTATTATTATTATTATTATTATTATTATTATTATTATTATTAATTTAACAATCCTGATTTCGGCTCACAAGAAGTTTGTGCCAAGACAGAATAATATTGCTTTTTAGTTCATGATATTTCGCGATTTTCATGTATCGGCATAAAACTAAACATAGAACTATTTATCATGCTCGAAGTTGCACATCCGACGTTCCTAACTTTCCCCATCTTCCTAAACGTCCGTGTGTGTCGTAACATCAGAAACCAGAATTTTAAAGGTTAAAAACGGCATGGAACGCACAGTTTCATGCAAAGCGGACGTCAGATTACTCAAACAGAAAAACATGCATATTTACAATATTGTTATCTCTTCTGGTGAAGGCTCAGCAACCGTTGCATTCGTCTTCACGCACGAAACGGTGACTCCCAGAGAAAGTAAGAACGCAGTGATTGCCTTTATTTTAACAATGTAAACACGCTTGCAGGCGTGCGCTGATGAAGCCTCAAAGTCAAAACTCTTGTAGCGTGATTCGTGACTGCGCCGGCTACTACCCAACCTCGTTGTCACGCCACTCTCTGCAAGCAGACACTAAAATTGCCAGGAAGCACACAAAAACGACACTGATACAATTATATTGTAGAATATCACCTAATTTGGTAATAACTGTGTCAATAGGCACTACATGTTGTATTTAAGCGTTAAAAAAAAGTTTTTGTCAGAAAAAACTAAATATCAACGTTAAGTCTGGTAACAGTGTATTTCTGCCGAATCTTTGCTGGATCTTTAGAAAAGTTCGACAAAGTTTGGCTCCGCTGAATCCCAAGATTCGGCGCCGAATTTTCGATTTGGCAAAAGTTCGGTCCATCACTACTAAAAATATACGACCGGGGGAGGGGGGCGAGGGTCTGGTCCCCCCCCCCCCCCCCCCCCCGCACTCAAAAGCAAGTTGGTACGCCACTGCCAAACAGTTAATATTAGTGAGTAGCCAGAACTGAAAATTCCATACACCGTAGCAACCCATGCATCCTAGCACTCGTGTTTCCCGCCTGAAACAATATGAAAAACGTTGTACTGTGTTTAAAATTGTCCGACGGTGAACCTTGTCCGCAGTCGGTCTCCCATTAAGTTGGACCGCAGCCAACGCCACAATTCGATGAATCCAATGAACTCGCGTCAAAAATGCATCGTCACGGCGCTCACAAAGCCCTGCGCGGATAACAATTTGATCGTCCACATCCGAACCGGATCCACAGACTTCGTATCGGCATCCGATCTGCATCCGCATACTTTGAATCCGTATCCGAACCGCATCCGCAAAATTTGGAAATGTATCCGACTTTCAATCCGCGCATTCATTGTACATAATAAAATCATGCATTAATAAACTTTAAAAAAATCTCGATGGTACCCTATAAACCTTTTGCTTATCTTTCTACAAACACTCTTCGTGTAAGAATACGGTAAAAGTCATTTTATCGAGTTCTGTTTTATCATATTTATAAAATAAACGATCGACCTCCCAGAGACACTTCGCATCGCTCGAAAGATGATCGCAGTTATTAGATCTGCTTGGGAGTCCGTGACACTGACGCTCTGACCAGTATACGCGCTCAAAAGGAAGATTATTTATATTTATTTTCCTTTTTGCTTTGTAAAACCCACTTCAAGCAGATGCATTATTTTATAAACATGAACATTGTCAAAGGACAGACTACTAACATTGTGTCATCTTTTTTAGGCCAAAGAGTAAAATTGGGAGGATGGCGTTCACTCGCAGCACCAAAATTCTCGTAAGGCGCGTGTACACCACTGGGAAAATATCACAATATTCAATAATGGCAACACCTCCAATCGGTCACAGTTAGAAACACGAACCCTCCACTGCATGTTCGTAACCATATACTTAAAAAAAACTGAGTGCCAACTGTCGAGAAAAATAAAACGCACACACACGCAATATTTCACTTGTCGAGGCTGTTGTGTAAACGAAACAGAATATCATCAACTCGGACGGATTTAGACTGGTTGGCCCCTTTCAAATTAATACTCGCTGGTGAGAATTCTCTCTTCGTTGGTGCACTTGACGCTGGGATGGAATGCACAAACTGCGCTGCAAGATTGAGGTACGGAAACTCGTGCTGGCCCAAGGTCGACCACTTCGAAGGATCGAATTCAGTCTCCTCAATATATACTTGTAGGCGAAGAAGCCACCTGCAGGCGCCTAATTTCTTGTGGTCGCTACGTTTCAGTTTTCTTTGCCCGAAGAACGTTTTCCGATCTTTCCCTGCCAAAGAAGAACACACTTCCCGGGACGACGGATGCTCCTGCAATCTTTGTTTTTTCTAGGAACAGTATCTTTGGCGAGATAGAACATTATAAAGCAATCTTTAGTGAGAAAAAAAAAAAGCTTTATTGACGTAAAGAGCAATTTTCTCTCCGATTGCAACCTTTGATCTAAGAGAGTAGTTTGTCCCCGCAATACATTCGATGATGCACTTCATAGTATCACTCATTCACTCTACATTGTATTGTCGCACACGTTTATGGACCGCCTCTGCAAAAACGGATTTGGACCCGCGGATATCCGCATCGGATGCGCATCCGCAATACGCAAAATCTTATTCATTTTTATCTGAATCCGCCAGTTTACTTCGTATATCTGCGGATATCCGCGGGTAATCCGCGGATATGCAGGGCCCCATGCAAAAAGTGAGCAAAGACGACGAAATACGCCAGCACGAGAGAACATTACCACTTCCACGCAGGAGTTCGAGATGACTGGACGATCGGTTTCGCAGTCTAGTGTCTAAAACATTTATTACTTAGGCTCTTCTGTAAATAATATAAAATATACATTTTTTATCTAACACGAATAACTCCTTGCTACAAATGCCTTGGCAGCTGCCAGCTGCTCAGTGGTACATGCAAATATTTTAAATTGTACCGATTTGAGCGATCTAGGGAAACTGATGATCTGGCGACGTACCAGCCAAGTGAGACAACGCCGTTATAATGCTGACGGGCCAGGTAGCAGTTTCCCGGTTGACGTCGAATTGCTCCATGAAACCCACGTAGAAAAAGGCGGAGTTAGTCTGAGATGCAGTGGCAAGAAAGGTAACCAGGAATCCCAGTGCGGCTACGTGCCAACAGGTGTCAACTCCTGATTTTTGTTTCTTCTCGTTCTTACTTTTCAGAGGGGTGCACATTTTCACTCCTACAAATAGAAAAGTAGAAATATTAAGTCAGGAGACATACCCCACACGCTCATTAGTACGTGTATGACTTCAAGATTTCGGTATAATTTATTGGGAAATTTTGCGCATAATGTCAGGTTTACTATGCTCGAATTCAAGATTACTTTTATAGGTTTTCTTCCCAGTGTACATGTTCCTCCCCCCCCCCCCCCCCCCCCCCAGAAAAAGAACGGTTGAAGAAAGTTTTAGATACTTGCAAGCGCTAAAATATAAAAAAGGCAAATAAAATTGTTTTTCCCAAGTTAGTTCCAGTATATAGCATATAATTTGTTCTATCAGCTTCAGCAGTGGAGTAGCTCCCGTTCCGCTGCACCTCTCAAAATGCATCTGCCTCCTTGCCCCTATTTAGTATAGTACTTAAGGAGATTTAAATGCTACGTTTAATTTACGAAATAATATAAATCCGCTGAAGCCGGCGGCGGCGAGTATTTCATACAGTTACGTGTCTATGTATGCCCGGGGCTGGTCGCCCTTTGGGTTTAAAGGCGGTAACCCATTTTGAACCACAGAGACAGATTACTTACTCGCTCATGAGTTTGTTTAGCCCTTCGACATATCCGCACGGCTACATTTGCGTAGAGCACACGGTGGGCCGATGACTGTATTCTACATAGAGCATACACTGAATGTCGAAACTCAAAGAAGTCTTGACTCGAAATCTCAACTTGCGCAGGGACAATGTGCATGTCATCTTTCTTTATATTCATCCTTGGTGGCCGCAATAACGCAAACCAAGATAGTAAGGACAATCCTTTAATACGCAAACGTTTGTTAACATTCCCGAATTTACCTCACACAACTTAAAGCCATTGACAACACCGAGGCGGCATATCTTAAAATACAGGTCACCTTTCATATCTTAAACCGAAATGTTCGAAGTCACGTGCTCCTCATTTGATATGTCTTGAAAGAACAATACAAAAATCGCTCACCTTGGTTAAATACCGAGCAGTTTTGTTTGATCCTTTGATCTTTTGCCTTGCTTGCTGTCGCGCAGTTTTCGTTATACAGGAACTCAGCAGTAGCCGCACAGCTGCCGTTGTTGGCTTCATCCTATAATGAAGGGAATATAAGGGCGGAAACCAGCTGGTTTAGAGTAACCATGAAATAAACCCCGAAACTGCAGGCAAAAATGGACACCTACACTAAAATGCCTCGAACACAGCTGATTCTTTTTTTTTTTTTCTGGAAGGTGCTTATAAAAACACTTTTAAAAAAAAAACAAAAAAAACGAGAGAGGGAAGCTAATGCACATTCTTTCCCCAAGTAAACAATAAAATGCAGCACAAATTATAGGCTGAGCCGCATAACTCCCTTCGCATCACCAAGTACAGGTCGTTCAAAAAAAAAACGGAGAAACAGTTGCGAATTGTGTATCAGGGATTGTATATAAGATACCATTTGATTGTGGACTATATTACATCGGACCAACTAAACGATGTTTAAATGGTCGGCTGACAGACCCCAATATATGTATTAAAAAAAGGAACCGGTATTCGGGAACTATTCAGACATTTTGCCGAATGTAACAATTGTGTGCCGCTTTAAAGTTTAACCTGAGTGAAATTACGGGAAGAAAACAACCACAAGCGCTTGATTAAAGAGTCATTGGTAATCTTAAACCATGGAAACTGGTGACTTTGTGAGTCCAATGTGTTTGTTTCCGAGAAGCTAGGGTGACGTGTTGTTCTATGGTTCACTTTGGTTTACCAGTCTTATAGTATTACCACTACTAAGGAAGGATGATAGTGTTCTGTTAGCGATCGTTCAGAGTAAGAAAGAAGGTGGGGAGTCCCGACGTCTTTTGTGTTTTCAGCGGGTCACTGTGTTTCATTCTTTGGGGGTTCAAGCGCTAGTTCTGTTGTACGACGCCAAGGTGACGTGTTTTGTTGTGATCCACTCCGTGTTACCGGATATAGTAGTACGAATACAGGAGGAGGGTCTTGTGGTCGATTAGTGAAGGTTTAGAGTAAGAGGGGAAGGGTTTGGCGACGTACTTTCGTCTCTTTCTTTGGCTTTCTGCATTGTATTGCTTACTTGTGGGAAGAAAGTGCATTGGCTTCTCCCTCTTTTTTTTATTTTCGTAAAGGTGCCAAAATAAGCCCTTTTTGGAAATAAAACAATATCAGCTGTGATCGAAACATGTTAGTGTTTGTGTCGTTTGTTACCTGCAGCCTTGGGGTTTACATCATGCTCATCCTAAGATGATTTGCCTTTCTGACGTTGGAGCAAGTGTTAAGACGCACCTTTACCCGCGATTCGTAGCGGCAACCGCATGTTGAGTGTTTTAACAGGGACGGAATTGCTCGCGCGGAGATTCCTCGCATTAGACACTTAAACCCAGAAATTCGTCCCAATTGAGCATTTTCTCGGAGCGCCGCAAAATGCCCGGCGCGTGCCCTATAATATTTTAACGTGGGCGTATTTAGACATTTTCGATGATGCGCAGCGAGGTTCTAATTGTAGACATCTCTTTACAATCAATACTAAAAAAAAAATTAATTACTCAAACCATTTTTACCCAAAATATTCAAAGCTAATATATATATATATGTTTTTTAATGGACCCTTCGACGCAGATGACGGCCAAATCAAACACATATTTGTGCGACGTGTAGTCCGGAACGATTTCTTCCGCGTTTAGAGAAACATATATTTATATATATCAGAGGGGATGTCATTGGGGGGGATTGCCTAAGCCGTTTTAGAGCACCTTTTGGAGCAGCCAAAACAGTGTTTTGGAGCAGCAAAAGTGGCTTTTGGAGCAGATATTCTTAGAAAAATAAAAATATATGTTTGCAGTGCTGGACAAACGAAGGACACTTTGCCTGCCGCAATAAACAAATTATAGTCAAGTTAAACCACCTGGGAGTCTTTCAACATGTAACTTAAATGCCAATGGCATGACATATTTTGCAATGCTTTAGTTAAATGATACGTATATATATACCCGCTATAGATAAATAAGAACCAACGTGCACGTATTAAAATTTATTTAAAAATGACCAGCTTAGTAGTAAATAGCACAGCATTAGGTTGTCTAGTGATAAAATAAATAAAAGCAGTCTCCAACTGATGAAACACGTGACTACAGCAGTACACTGCGAAATTGTCGCGCTAGCGGAAATGGCTCTTCGATCGAAACCATGCCACTCCGCTCAGTCGCAAACTGGTTCCTAAAATTGGATGCAAAATGTAACTGTCTAGCATACGACAAGAAACAGTCCAGAGGCACGTGCTTTCCAGGCAGGCCGGCGAGGTACAAGCTAAACACACAGAAAAAAAAAGAGCCTGAGCGCATCGATGCAAGACATCGCGAGCCAGTGTCAAAAAGGTTTTGGAGCGCTTTGTGCAACGACCTACTCGACCTCGAGACAAACGAGCGCGCTGTGCGGGTTCAGCGTGCAGACATTGCCTTCTTTGCATTAGCTCACTTCTCTTCACCAACTTTTTTTCGCGGCAGATTTTTTGCGTACCGGGGTCCCTGCCGAAAGAACACCTACCGAGGGAAGCCTAGGTAATCAATACTTTGACAACCAGTCTTTGAGTTAAAGAGGGATTTTTGTAGTAACATATGATTTTAACAAGAACAAGAATGTTGATGAGCATGCTGCGGTACTTACTTTTATTTTAGAAAGCGACATACCTGCAGCGACGTGGGGACGGCAACACCCGACGTCGCGAAACTACGGTGACTGGAAGGCAGGGTTCAAATATAGTTTTCCCACGGCTGTTGCTTTCGAGAGCGAGTGCTTCAGCTCACAAAGTAATTCCCGCCGCGCAACAACGTGATTTCGTTTCATAGCATGACGGCGTGGCTGGTATACACCAGCGCGTTAGTGTCGGAGCGTCCGCACACGCCCGCGTCTATCGTTAAAAGAAAAAAACCAATACGCGAGACAACGTGGGAGCGGAACAAGACATAGCGGGAAAAACCATGCAAGACCGGATGAACGATTGGTGCAGGGTACTTTGTGTCGGGCAAAGGTGTCGGGTGGTCGCTTGCGCCACCTAGTTCGCGCGTGATCAATTACGGTTTTTAGTTTAGTTTCGGCTTAGAAAGGCGATCAAAATTGGTCCTTTGGCGCAGGCTTGGCGCAGATTACCTATATGTTGGCAAAATGTATCATTATGTAGCAGAGTTAGCCTCTTGGCGCCGTTTGGCTCAATATATATATATATATATATATATATATATATATATATATATATATATATATATATATATATATATATTGTTGAATGATGCAGGTCGGCGCGTAGAGGACAGGACAAGTTACGACAGAAGAGGGAATGATTTACAGAGGTCGAGCCTTCACGTGGTTCCTGGCCCGGGATGGTCGTGCACGCCCCTGCTCCATCAGCATCTTCACCTAACTACCAGTACTCCCTTCGAGGAAAACTGTCGACCCGGCCGGTGAATACGAAGACATATGTCACACTTACAAGAACACACACATAGAAGAACGAAGGACAGATTCCGGCAGCGGGTTTGGCGATGAAGACGGGAAGATCTTTGGAGTTCGGTCTCTGTCCGCAGCCTCACAGACCTTTGCACCAGCCAGAGCAGTACGACGGTACGGTGGGGGCTGGTGGACTCGCGTCTGTAGAAGCGTCAGAACGCCGTGGGCTGGGGAAAGAGGCGGGGGATTCTGGGTCGGCTTTGTCTGTTTCGGGCTCGTCATAGCATCTGGGCGGGTGCTGAGCGAAGGAGCCATGGGCCGATAATGGTCTGTGTCTGTAAATGACCGCTACGAGGCCGGATGGCTGGCTGACAACTGCAGCGATGTGTGATACAGGTGATGAACATGCATTCGCACCCCCATCATACTGTTAGGATGATGCTGTCGGCAGGATAAAGAGCAGGGCGTGTGATGACATCAGATAGAACGATATATAATTGCCAAACCAACAAGCGACTGAAAAAAAAATTACAAACATTTATGCTGTGGGAACCATGGGGTTCCCCCTATCCCTATCTAGGCCTAGCTTCAAGCAGGCCGTGGGAGTCGTCGTCACCAATGGCGTCGGCCTCCCAGATACAAGGAACCACGAGGCCGAATTCCCCGAAGGGGCCGGTTCTCCCTTGCCCATTTTGGCTGAACGCGGCCAAAATGGGCAAGGAAGAAATATACAGTTTAATACAGTTCGCGGAAAGCTCGTGTTACGTTTTTATTTGCTGCTCTTCTGGCTCCGTACAATAGACTTAGTGTTCTCGTTAAGCCTTAATGAGCTCAATTTGCTCGATTCGTGGCCGCCATAATGAGATGCAGGTGACGGCGGAACTTTTGCTTGAAAGGGACAAAAGTTTCTCCCTTTCTGAGGGAACATATGTGTCAAAAGCGTTCCTCCATTTAGGGAGGACTGTACTGACCCTTTTTTGTAAGAGGGCGGGGCGGCCTGGGTAATTAGTGCTGCAAGGCCGCGTCGTAAGATGGTCGAAATAATGATGTTGTGTTTGGGGCAGAGAAACACCTTGACTTTTCCTTTCGGCATATCAGATACAACAGCTTCCATGCGGCGTGCTAGTGTGCGGCGGTGACGGGAGGGAGTAGTCCACTGGCCTGTGTTGTTGTCTATCGAAATCGATGGGGTCGTGCGTGGTGTCACGGATAGGCCTTGGGATTCGTCAGGAGTCTTGTCGCTGTGTTCGCGCTGTCGGGTGTCCTTCGTGAGTCCTTCAGTCGGTGAAGAGCAGTCTTAGTTCATGACGGAGGCCACGGGAGCCTGCGTAGCTGCCGGGCGGCGGCCGAGTGGTTAGGACAAAGTGAACACTGCCTCGCTTGCCGGCGATACTTCATCTCCAAGCGTCGAGATGGTAAATGAGCCGTTGGAATGTTCTTAGGAAGGTGCCAAGACGTGTCCGAACTCACTGTATGGAAAAGTCAAGGGAGGTTGGGTCGTTGATTTCAGGAGGGAGCGATTTCAAAATTATTGTAAAATCCGAAATAATGGATCTACCTTTCCGAAATATTGGGTGCAGGTCTCAATTTACCTTCGACGGCTGTGCACAGTAGCATTCCGAGCGAAAGGAGTGAAGTACATGC